GTTGACCCAGGAGGCGCCGATCGGCATCGCCTGCCCCCGTGCTCCGTGCCACCCGAGGTCGTCCTCGTCGAAGCCGCACCTGCGCTCCCTTCGGTACCTCGTCTCAGGCGTTGTCGAGCTTCTCGAGCTTCGCGGCGTAGCGGTCCACGAAGTCGTCCCTGTAGTTGACGGCGACGCCCGAGACCAGCGCGAAGTCGTCCCACAGCCCATCGCTCTCCACGAGCGTCGCCAGGTTGGTTCGCACCGACGCCTCCCCCACCTCCGGCGAGAAGACGCCCTCCGAGGCGGCGAGCCTGTCCCAGGGTGGCCACTCCACCACGTTCAGCGCAATTGGCCCAATGATGACGAAGCCCAGCCCCTCGCGGACGGCGAGCCTGGCGATCTCAACGATCACCTGCGCGATGAATGTCCTGGTCGATCTAATGCTGAATCCTGCCGCTGACCCCCTCGTAGCCCCAGGGCACGCGCGCGTTCCGATAGTAGTCGTCTTAGAAGGTGTCCAAGAACATGGTGAGGTGGCAGATCCAATGCCAACGCCTCCTCAGGCGGCTGACAAGGCGCCCCACCATCGTCGCGGCCAGCAGCTCCTCCATCCGCACGTCCTCTATCCAAGCGCCCACCTGGTGCCCGAGCTCTCCTCTCAGGTCCAGCGAGCCCTGCTGCAGCGCCAACGTGCCAGGCCGGCCCTCGCGCGGGTGCATCATCTCGTCCTCCTCCAGGCCCGCCTTGCTCGCCTCCTCCATCTCCACGTGCGCCTCCCCGACCTGAATCTGCCGCACCTGCTCGGCCCCGCGGCCCAGCTCGTCCCTGATCTCTTCCACGCTCGACTTCGTCGCCGCCGCGCCGAAGCCCTCGTCGCCCGCATCGGTCATGTAGACCGTCGTGTGCCAGTCCAACTCCAGGTTCGCCTCGAAGAAAATGGCCAGCGAGCCCAGAGCCTTCAGCTCGCGCGACACGGCGACGGGAAGACGCTGCACCTTCTCGGCGCCCTCGTCCGCGATGCTGCCGACCCATCGGTAGCAAGCGTCTAGGATCGCAAAGGCAGGCCTGCAGACCAGCATCGCCCGCGCCCAGCAGCCCACCACCGTGGCCAGCTTCCGCGGTCGCGCGGACTGAGTCACCACGATCGCCTCGGTGCAGATGATCAGGTCTTTCATCTTCTCGGGGTAGATCTTCAACGTATAGGGGCGTCCCGATATAGTAAGTCCTAGCCCTCGCCGAAGTCCTTCCCCCGCATCCTCTTTGTGCACTGCGAGGCCCTTCGCATTCAAGTAGCTCCGAACGTGGCCTTTGGTCAATTCGAGCTCTGCGTCCTCCCCTATCCTTCGCGAGCTTCAGGCCTACGTAGTCGTCGGTGCACAGCGGCGGCAGAAGCTCGGTCCTGGCAAAACTCGGACACGCCTTGCCCAAAGTGATTTGCTCCGTGGACAATCCCTCCATGGGCTCGAAGCAGTTGACAAGGTCGGAGTGAGCCAGAAAGACCGCCCAGGCAGCGCCCATCACCGGTGCGACAGACCCCGCCCCCGCGGCACCCGCGGGCGGAGTAGGGAGGGCCACGCCAGCTTCCTTCGCAAAGGTGCACAGCTCCTCGGGCGTAACCCCCATCGAGCGTGAAGTACTCTGCCAGTCCGTCCGCCCACTTCGACCCGTAGAACCAGTCGGGCGCGCCCCCTTGGAAGCTCCCCAGCACACGGCCCTTCAAGACGTCGCTCGTCAACTCCAGCTGTGACAAGGCGGACGGCGACCCCAGCGGTATCCACAGCGGCTGCCGGAATAGCAGATTCACCTTCCGAGCATCCCAGATGAAGCGAGACTTGGTCACGTCCGGCCCATTCTCGCTCACGTCCTTTGCCGCGCAAGAGAACCCCGCGGTGTGTTTCGCCTCCTTGGCGCACTGGGCCATGCCTGATTTCATCGCCCCCATGGCCGCAGTGAGCCTGGTGCGTCGATCCTTCCAGCCTGGACCGGAGTAGCTCTTGATGCTCTCGCGCCTCTCCCAGTCCACCTCCTTGGGGCCCTCCAGCATCCGACTCTCGAAGCGCTCCAGGTAGGGCGCTGCGGTCGCCGAGAGACCCACCAGAGGCAGGTCCGCGGCCCCTGGGGGCGGCGACGGAACCTTGTCCGCCACCGCCCTGCAGAGGTCGCCCTTCTTGATAAGCGTAGTAGATGATGTAGTCTGCTTCTTGTCGCGCCCCACGCCTGCCGTATAGCCCGAGCTGTCGGGCCCCCGCAGACGGCGAAGCACCGCCTTGCCGTCGCCGATGCCCCCCCGCGCTTCAAGTGCGGCGCGGCGATCCCAGATGTCGTGGACCACCCTGCGCTGGAGCCCAGTCGCCTCCGACCGCGAGCTCGGCGCAGCCGCCCCATCGGCTGTGCCAGCCCGCCCAGCAGCAAGAGCACGAAGCGACCGAACCGTCCGACATGTACGCAGCCAAGTCAAACGCAGCTGCTCCGCCGTGAGGCCCGAGCTCGAGGCCCTCGTCGCCAACGGCCCCGTCGGTGAAGGCAGGCTCCGAAGTGGGTCCCTCTCTCGGAAGTCCATCGTCATCTGGGGGGCGCGAAGGAAGCACCCGCTCACCTGGGGCGCGACGTAGATTGGGCGCAATGGTGTAGCTCAGGTCCGCGATATACAAGACACGGCCTGAACTCGAATCGCCCCGCGGCCCAGCGCCAAGTCGGCTAGCGAGGCTCAGCGCGGCGAGCCCGAGGGCCTCGTCGACCTGGCGATCTCCCCGCTGGCGATCCCGACGCAGCGCAGATCCGCAGGAGTGAGCACAGCAGTGCGAGACTTACCTAAGGGACGCCACTCCAAAGCGCACCCTCGGGCCACCCCTATTCGCCATCCTTGGGCGCCGCGCCCCGCGCAGACATCGGGTGCTTCTGGATCTGCGCCCTCTTCCCCAGCTTGTCCGCCACCTCGTCATCGGCCAGGGTGTCCTCGATGGTGTCCTGAGAAGTCAGCCTCAGGTACCCTTCGCCGAGCGACCAGTCGACCTTCGACCTCCACTTGGCCCCCCTCGCGTTGCGAGGCCTCTTCCAAGCGTTCTCGCACGCGACGCCCTCGCAGGCCTTCATGATCGCGTGCACCCAGAGGCAGCTCAGCTCGCTGGCTTGGGCGTTGATCAGCCCCTTGAAATTCCCAGTGGCCATCATGCGGTCCAACGCCATGGCGAGGACCAACGTAAGCTCTTTGCTCCTCAGCCACTCCTGCACCTCGAGTTTAGCAGAGCGGCCCCCCCATATAGACCTTGCTCAGCACCGTCGGCGCCACCCGAGTCTTGATCCCCCCCACGCGCACGTTGGGGATGTGCTCGTAGCTCTTCAAGGTCTGGAGGAGGGCGCCCCTGGGATTCTTGCTCTCCATCTCGACCTGGGCGATCGTGTCCGAGACCGAGCCTGCAGGGGCGGGCGTGAGCTTCTCCCACTCCGACTCCGAGGACGACCCTCCTGCTTCGCGTCCGCTGCCCTTCGTCCCCTGATCGTTCAGTTTGGCGATGAACTGGCCCAGCTGCGCCGACGCAGGCACAGCACTCTCCTCAGCGGAGTTGCCCGACCCACCTGCAGGTGCGGCCGGCGGCTCCTTCCTGCTCTGTTTCGGCGCCTCCGTGATCGCCACCAGCCCCGCTCGCAGCTCATTCTGACCTCGCTGCAGCTCGGCGTGCACCCCCTTCGCGTCGGGCTCGTCGTCTGAGTCGGGCACCGTGGTCCCAAGGATCAGCTCGCCCTCGGACACGTCGGACTCCGAGTCGGAGTCCGAGAGCCCTTGCCACTGGCGGAACATGTAGTTCAACAGCCACACCCCGAATATCACGCCCCCGATGGACATCGGGATCGTCTCCAGCTCTCCAGACTGCCAAGCCTCCACCAGGAGCCCCCAATAGTCGGACACCTCCCCCGCCGTCTCCTTCGCGGCCACTGCCGCCTCGTACATCTTGTGAAAGAGCGGCCCCAGCTGGAAGTGCCTCCAGATGGGCCAGGCGGCGAAGGCCCCGCCGGCCAGGCCTCCCCACGAGCGGCGCCGCCACCCGTAGCAGAACAGGCTCGAACCCATGGCCCAGATCCAGTTCACGAGGCCCGCCTTCTTCGAGACCTTCTTCTTGCCGCCAGACTTCCAGAAACCTTGCCTTTCTTCTTGTCCGAAGCCTTGTTCAGCTTGACGTTCTCGGCGTCCAGCTCCTTGCGTGCTATCAAACGAGAGGAAGCAACCAACGCCAGATCCCTCGTCTTGTCCGTCAAGCCTGGGAATGGCGTCCAGTTGCTGATTCCCCGCGGAGGCTTGGTGAAGACCGACTCCTTGTCCTTGAAGCTCACGATCTGCACCCTGAGACTCGGGTCCACGCAGGTCCACGTCTGGTCGGGCCGCCTTGCCGACCCGTTCCACCAGAAGCATGGCCACGCCCGAAGCCTGCCCTTTGGGCAGGTAGTACATCCTGTTCCACTGTGCCCAGCCGCCCATGACGAGCAGCGCGCTGCCGACGACGTTGACGTCGGCCGCAACGTCGACGAGCTCGACCTCCACAGCCTCGGCGGTCTCGCCCGCCTCGTCCTCCTCGGTGTCGTCCTCCACTTCGCCCGCGAAGCGCAGGCCGAACACATCCAGGACCTGGTCCTGGCTCAGGCCGCTCCCCGCGGCCAGCACCTCCTCCTGGAGGTCGCCCGAAAGGCCCAGGAGCGCGAGCGCCGCGCCCGCGAGCGCGAAAGGCCGCGGAATCGCTCCGCGGTGGGGGGCCGTGCCCAGGCACGACCGCTGACAGGCCCGCCCGCGGGCCTCGCCCGTGCCGACTTGAACCCAAGAGGGGAGGGAGGGGAAAGGCGGCGAACAGACTACGATGGGTAGTGTACAATAAAGTTCCCACAGACAGAGCAGAGGAGAAAGAAGGAGGATGAGACAGGAGCAGGGCCCCCACAGTCACCAGGGCGACGACGAGGATCACCTGCGAGCAGGCGAGGGAGATTCCCATGCGGGGCCCCACCGTTGGCGCAGTTCTCTCCCCCGAGGCCTGGATCTTCGCCTGCGACGACTCGGCCCGGAAGTTGAAGATCTCCAAGACGAGGCGGTTCCGGTCGATGACCTGGCACTCTGGCTGGCGCTTGCCGCGCGGGTGGCGCTCCTCCTCCCGGCGCTTCCTCGGGAGAGGACGCGGCACGCGCACGAGCCCGCGGAGGTCCGCGCGGGCTGCTCTTGTCGGGTGCAGTGAGGCAGCCTCCTGGCCCCCAGGGAGGAGGATGCGGGGGAGGAGGGAGGAATCATTGGATTGGACCTGTGTGCTGAGCTGGTTTTTCGAGTCAAGGGTGAGGAGGAGGAGGAGGAGGAGGAGGAGGAGGAGGAGGAGGAGGAGGAGGAGGCTGAGGAGGAGGAGGAGGAGGAATCAAGGGGAACGGAGGAACGATCCTCGACCCCCTGTGACTGCGTTGGAGCCCTGGCCAGCGCCGATCCAAGACATCTGCGCGGACCGACGAACAACTATGCTTGTACCGTTTTCTCTTCTCCGGTTCCTGGCGTCCGCGGCCGCGACGGCGTTGCAGAACACCACCTCCAGGTTTTGGCTCTGCGTCGGGGTGAGCGTCGTGTTGATGAAGACGTAGTCGCAGGGATTGTTGGCCACGTGGATCGCCAGCTCCTCCACCTCGTCTGGTGGCGCGCGGAAGCAGGCAGGGCCATGGTCATGAGGGGGGAGCAGACAGATCGGGAGCGGCCAAGAGGGGGGTGTCCAAGAGGGGCGGGTGCAAATCATGACCGGCGGCATGTGCGCGGCCCAGCGGGGGGGCCAGGGACGTAATGAAATAAGAAGAGGCGCCATGAAATCTGGGGAAATATCATGGCCCACGCCATGATATCCACCCCCCCTAGTCATCACCCCCCTCTTTGCCGCCCCCGAACATAGGGGCGGAGAGGAAAGCGGGCGAGGGGAGGAGGAACCGCCGCCGCCGGATGCCTCGCACCAGCCGTGGGCGGCGGCCGGGCAGCCCAGCGGGGCCGAGGCCTGGCCCTCTTCGGGGATATACGGGCCCAGGTCGATCCAAACCAGGGCCAGTCGGGCCCTGCAGCATCCTGCGAGATCCTGCAGGCTCCTGCAGGATCCTGCGCCCAAGCCCGGGTCAATGCAAGATCCCGGCGATCTGCCCGAGGAGGAGGAGGAGGAAGAGGAGGAGGAGGAGGAGGAGGAGGAGGAGGAGGAGGAGGCGGAGGAGGAGGAGGAGGCGGAGGAGGAGGCGGAGGAGGCCCCCGCTTGCAGTGCCCCGCCCCGCCTCTGGAGCCCCCCCCCCGGGGGCGGGGGCGGAGGCCCGCGGGGCCCGCGGTCGGCGGCGGCGGGCCCTGGACGGGAGGGCCGCCCCCGCCCCCCCCCCCCCCGGGGGGGGGGGGGGACGGCTGTGGCCGGCTGGCGACTTTGGCCCTCCCGGGAGGAGCGGGGGGCGCCGACCCGGGTCCGGGGCTCCCAGACGCACCCCCCCCCCCCCGGAAATCCCCTCCCCACCCGGCCCCCCCCCCCCCCCCCCCCCCCCCCCCCCCCCCCCCAGGATAGGGGAGGCCCCACACAAGGAGCTAATAGTGGAGTTTCGGGGCGCCCCAGAGGACCCCACAAGGGAGGCCCAAGAGTTGGGGTTTTTTCGGGGGCTCCAGATGGGCCCCCATCTACAGCGCCATCAGGAGGCCCCCCCCCGAGAGGCCGTCCAAAGAGAACCCCCCAACTACCCCCCCACACCCACCCCCCCCTGGGAAGCTCCAGGAAGGCCCAATGGTGACGCAAGAAGGCCCCCCCCAGAGGCTCAAGGAGCCCAATAGTGGAGTTTCGGGGCTCCCAGAGGCCCCCAAGGAGGCCCAATAGTGAGGTGTCGGGGCTCCCAGAGGCCCCCCAGAGGCCCCAGGAGGCCCCGAGAGGCCTCCAAGAGACCCCCCTGGGAAGCTCCAGGAAGGCCCAATAGTGACGCAAGAAGGCCCCCAGAGGCTCAAGGAGCCCAATAGTGGAGTTTCGGGGCTCCCAGGGGCTCCCAAAAAGGCACAATAGTGGGGTTTCGGGGCTCCCAGAGGCCCCTCTCGGAGGCCCCAGGAGGCCCCCCAAGAGGCCTCCAAGAGACCCCCCCTGGGAAGCTCCATGAAGGCGCAATAGTGACGCAAGAAGCTCCCGAGAGGTCTCATCATACTTCTTCTTGTCCTCTCCTTTTCCCTCTCTCTCCTCATCCCATTTTTCCTCCACCACGTGTTCTCCGAAGGGCTTCCACAACGGCTAGGGGAACGCATGGTCCAATAGCGTGGCCAAACCTTGCCCAAAAGTTTGGCCACATGGGCGCATCCTAAAAAGGCAGGGGGCGGCGGTGATTCGCTGTAGGCGTCTTCGAAGTATACGTGCAAATGTGGCGGAAACGGCGACGGCAAAACAGGGCAGAAGCCGACATCATAATAGCTTGAAAAGCATGGCGGAGATGCCCACCCTACTTACGACGTTGTCAACGTACGGCGGATCCGAAGTCGGGCTCGCCCCCAGACCCCTCCTGCGCGCCGCCATACCCTTGCCATTCCAACACAAGACGAGGCCGGTACAGGAACAACATCGGACCAGGACAGATCTGAAGGGGCAAAAGGACACACAAACAAATACACACAAATAACAGGATTCCCCATATTTGCCAATATTTTTTGAGTTTCCGTCTCCCCCCCACCTCCCATAGTTTCCCATATTTTCTTGGGATTCGACGATTAAGTGTGTCTGTGTGTTTTTTCCCTCTTGAAGATGGGGGACCTCTGATCGGCGGCGAGCCTGGGGGGGAAGCGAGAGGGGGCAGGCCTTCTCAGGTGGCCTCTCAGAAGCCCTCGCGCATTCTGAGAAGTCCTCCAGTCCTCCAGGCTCCTCCTCCTCCTCCTCCTCCTCCTCCTCCTCCCTCCTCCTTGCTCTCTCCTCCTCCACCGCGACCTCCTCCTCCTCCTCGCCCTCCCCCTCCCCCCCCTACCCCTGTTCCTCTCCTCCACTACCCCTCCCCTCCTCACTCCTCCCCGACCTCCTCCTCCTACTCCTCCTCGCTTCACCTCCGACTCCCCCTCTCCTCCCATCCCCGCCGTGGACAATGTTCGGTCGAGCGGAAGGTCCATGCTCGATCGCATTCCGAGGAAGGCTTGAGCGGTTGCCCGCCCCTCACTTCCCCAATGGCGGGGCCCGCCGCCGATCCGAGATCTGGCAGCTCGTGGAAGACGGCTCGGCCGTGTCAGAGCGCTCCGGAGCCCTCTGACTCAGCGGGGACCGACCGTCCCGGCACTTCCATAGGCCCACCACGACGTGTTGGAGCCCAGACATGTTCTCAAAAAACAAAGGCCGTGTCCAGAGAACAGAAGCCCGCTGTGCCAAAGCAGGTCGAGCCTGGCCAGAGATGTTCTGAGAGCATCTCGTGGAAGCCACGACGGGTTCTTAGAACACTGCTTGGCAGGCCTACAGGCGCGCCAAGACGCTTCGTCACTGCTTGAGTGAGGCTTCGGGCTTCGGACTGCGCGCAGACAGCCCCCCCCCGGGTAGCCCCAGCTGGCCTCAACAGGCCCCCCGAGCAGTCCCAGCTGGCCTCAACAGGTGAACCGAGCACTTTCTTTGCCAGCGGGCACGCACGGGCCTGCTCGAGGCCGCCCCGAACTCGGGGTGCCTGTTGGAGCCACTACTCTTAGGTCGGGCCTGTCCCCCTACAGGGAGATTTTGGGCGAAAGTTCACAAATACTCGAAAAATGCCCCAACAGATTCAAAGTAGTAGTAGAACAATCGTCCCAAGATTATTTTTCGGACTATTCTTGAATATCCATCCTGAGAGGGACAGGCCCGACTCAAGACCACTCTGGGGCCTGTTGGGATCGGCCGGGGCTGCCCCTGGCGGGGCCGCCTGTGGAAACCACCCGAGGCCCTACCGCCCTCCGACTGGCGCGCGCGCGCCGCCGCACCTTGCCCTTCCCGAAAAACGTCCCCGGGTCGATCTTGCGGAGCTTCACCACGCAGGTCTCGGCCCACTGCCTCCGCACGACGTTGTGCTTCCAGGCCACCTGCTGCTCCTCCTCCTCCTCCTCCTCCTCCTCCTCCTCCTCCTCCTCCTCCTCCTCCTCCTCCTCCTCCGCACGACGTCGTGCTTCCAGGCCACCTGCTCCTCCTCTTCCTTCTCCTCCTCCTCCTCCTCCTCCTCCTCCTCCTCCTCCACCTCCGCACGACGTCGTGCTTCCAGGGGGGAAATGAGCAGGAGAAGGCCTTCTCGGAAGGCGGCGGGAGTTCACAGAAACCCTCGCGCCTTCTGAGAAATTTCGTACGTCGTCACGGAAAGCTTAGAAAGCTTCCCAAAAAACTGGGGGACTTCCGAGCCTCCTGAAAAGGCCGGCCCCTTCTCACTTCCCCCCCTCGCTCGCCGCCGACACCTGGTCGACCCCGCCCTGGCGACATCCCAGCCCTTGATATTTCTCTCTTGGGGCTTCTCTCTTTTGTTCTGCCAGCGCGTCCCCATAAGGAACTCCGCCGTCGTGATTCGACGGGGTGGTCCAGCACGGGGTTGGGGCCTCTATTGCACAGCGTTTGGCGTGTCGCGCCGAGCCGTGGTGGGCTGGAACTGGCCGCGGGACACGCTGAGCAAACGTTCCACGGCTGTCGTGCGCCAGCATCGCCTCACGCCGGAGCGCAGCGTCTGACCACGGCAGAGATCCACTCAGTGCGACTGTCTTGCTTGCCATAGCTCTGACGTCCATTCCCCGTGCGGTTCTCGGCTTCGTTTTTGCTTATTTCTTGCCAGATGATCCAGGATGCTCCTCGATGGCCCTCGCCGAGAAAGATGCCCACGTCCGAGCGATGCCAAGCTTAAGCCGCACTGCTGCCCATTCCCGCCGCGGCCCCCCGGGCAGAAGAGTCCAAAATCGAATCGATAAATCGGATCGGCGATCGACATGAATCGGATCGGCGGATATCGGCAGCCAAGTCGGGAGGAGTCGAATCGGCGGAAATCGGCAGAGTGGTAATGCCACATTTCGGCGGTGGACAAACCTCCCTTTAATCGCTAATCGACGTGTCAGGGTAGGAAGTCTGTCCACCCCTGGCCATTGAGACATCGGAATCCAAATCGGAATCCAAAGTCGAATCGCACCGGAACCGGAACCCATCGAAATCGAATCGAACCGAATCGGAGGAATCGAATCGAGGCTATGCTTAGGACGGGCGTGTCCCCCTACAGGCGGATATTGGGCAAAAGTTCTGACATACTCAAAGCGTGCCCCCAGATCGTCAAAATAAGTGTTCAGCACATCGTCCCCAGACTATCTTTGAACTATCTTGAATATTCTTCCTGTGGAGTTTTTATTTTGAGCTCAACGCCCGCACAGCCTGGGTGAAACAAGACACAGCAGCGGCGGCTGGGAAACCACTGCTGGCAGTGAGGGAGACACCTCACTGACCGAAAGAGTACCTCCAGCAACCCCATGGGCTAGGAGGCACTGGCCACAAGATGGGCGACCGCCCCGTGGCCAGCGCAAGAGAAAAAACAGTCCAACGCCTCAGGGCATACGGTCGGGGAGGGCTATTCCTCCCCCGTGCTTCCCGCGCAATCTGTACAGAAAGGCTGGCGGGAGGGACAGGCCCGACTTGAACCTGTGGCCGGGGGCGCCCCCTGGCGAGGCCCCCGGCGAGGCATCCCGAGGCGCCTGCAGGGAGCCTCGCGAAGAGGCGCCCTGGACCCGCCAAGCCGAGGCCGCGCACCGGCGCCCAGCAAGGCGCGGCCTCGCATGTCGACCGGGCCGACGGCAGCGCGGCCGCAGCAGTCGGGGAGGCGCAAGACTCGGGTGCGCTGAAGTCGGCCCCGTCCCCCATGCAAGGGGGATTTTTGGACGACAGATTTTTTTAAATACCCCCAAAAGACCCCCCAAACGGTCAAAAAATGCTCGAGAAATCGTCCCCATAATATTTCTTGACTATCTTTGAATCTTCCCTCTGTGGAGGGACAGGCCCGACTGAAGGGTACGCGGGACTCGGGTTGGCCTGACGGGGCCACCATCAAAACGACGAGTCCCAATCTGAAATTTGGCGCGAACTCCTGCTTCAAACAGGCTCACGAGAACTGGACCGTCAGAACCCAAAGCGCGCTCGTCAAAAGACGTCGGCAGATCCGAGCTCCGGCCTACTCGAATCTTGTGCTCCCCCGATACAGAACCCGCCTACGTAGAGCGACCGAGCAGCTCGCCATCGCTCGGACGTCCATCCCCCGTGCATCTGTTCGGCGCCGCGCGTGCGCACCTTCTCGGCCGTCGAGGATCCCACGTGCTCCTCGACGGCCCCCGCGCGCGCCGAGGAAAAACGTGCACGCGTCCGAGCGATGCCAGGAGAGGCCGCGGCGCGGCTGCGACGCCACGGCCCACCGAGCCGGGCGCACCGCACGCGGCCGGCTGCGGCGCGGCCGAGCCGACCGAGCCGTTGACGCCCCCGCGGGCCGCCGACCCCTCGAGGGCGAGGCCCGCCCTGCCCCGAAAAAGCCCCGGCGCTGTGACCTTCGTCGCCGCGCCGACCCCCAGAGGCCTGGCCTCCCCAGGGCTCCCTGTGGAGCACGCTCGGCGCCCGAGCCCGCTCGGCAGCCGAACGTCCCCGAAGTGATTTTAGATCGAGCCTGAGGAGGAGGAGGG